TTTCTAGTGTTGGTAGTCCACAGATGAGTGTTTGAGAAATTCCCCAGGGTGATATTTACCCCAGTAGCTTCTTTGGAGCAGGAACAGTAAAAACTGCAGCTTGTTGTGAAGTTAGCGGTGAGAGGCAGCACGGTCTGGAAATAGCAGCCTCCTACCCCTTTTCGCTCTCCCAAACTACGTGCTGTGTCTCATGCTGAAATGCCTGCTCCTCCACATCGAGAGTCATTTCATCTCGCTGCTTCCTGAGAGAGATCGACATCTTCTGCAGAGCACACACTGCCGAGGAGAGGAAGGCAGCTTTGGCCTGCGGAGAGCAGAACTCAAGTACTGTGTGGGTGGCCGAAGACAAGAGCTTCTGAAATGAGGGAACAGAACAGATCTCTAATCTCCAGACTCTGACACATATCGCACTTTTCTCAGTTGCTTAGGAAAGAGATTTGCATCCAAAAAGAAGTGGGAGGTTTAAATAGGAGTTCATACACACGCGCATTCATCTTCTGTGGTCCATGCAGTAATTTACATTTCGCTAGTCCCATGGAATCCACAACACTTCATAAAGTGCATCCATTACAAATGTGCAACCAGGGGAAACAAAGAAGCTGTCCCAGGTTCCTTATCACAGTGTCCAAAAGCTGAGCTCAGTAGGCAGTCATGGAAATTGGAGGCTGCAGGGTATCACTGAGGTAAGCACTTATTTTGGGTTGTGCCAAGATGCTGAAGCTAGTGTCCCACCCTCAGCAGAGGTACTGGGCATGGTCCTACCTATGGATGGCCCAGGCCACGTGTGTGGCCTGAAGCACTGCAGGGCCTAAGCCATAGCTCCATCCTCCTAGGACACTAACATAAGACTGAGGCATAGAAGAGTTGGATCCACAGAAGCACCTGGCCCTAGAAAATGCCGACTGACATTTCCTTGCAGGGCTGTGCACCTTCTGGTACTGTGTGAGCAGCCCCTTCATGGCTTCATCCGCCACAACAACCATAGCTCTGTCCTAGATTGCCCACTCATCCACCCTGGCTGAACTGACAGCCCGATCTGCTGCAGAAAAGTGGCCCAAATAAGGCACCCTTTCTTCTTCGGGGTGGAAAGACCTCCTTCGACCTGTTTGTTTATTGGGAATTGCTGAGCAGGGTTTACTGTGGCCCGCTGAAATTTTCCACTTTGCAAAAATCAAGCAGTAGACCCTTGCTTCTCCTGCCTAACACAATTCTTATGCACGCCCTGTCCCAATTTTCCTTGTAATCAATAGCAGGGGTTTCTTTTTGTAGCACACACAAAGACTAGACTCCTTGAAGGAAGAAAAGAGGCTTTAGTGGGGTGAAGGGGGGAGGGGGGGAAGCCCAAGGCTGAATTTCTGGTTTGTTTGAGGCACTATCTGAAATCAGTGGGAACCGCGTGTGCGCTGCGATTGCATGGGCGAGCTCCCAGAGCTCGGTGTTTACAGTCCTCCCGCGTGCGAGGCTGAGCCCAGAGCCGCGTGGGGGACGTCTCTCCAGCACAATTTAAATACAGGGCTGGTAAAGCCCCTGGGATTGTCCCATTGAAATAAGAAGGGGAGGGCTCCCGTTTCTGTGGTGCCAGAAAAAATGATAAATTTGCACATGGAGCAGTGGTTCAAGGCCAATTTCTGCTGCCTATCTACACTTATTTTTTAGAAGGTGCACCTTCAATGTGGTATTGTTAGGCTGTTACCATAATATTTCCACGAGTGCTCAGTGGGCGAATGATTAACTCGGAAAGCCTGGGAGGGGAAGAGGCTGTCCCGCAGCCCCTGCTAATCTAGCAGCAGCCCTGGCACCCTGAGGTCAGGTCTCCCTCTGCCACCCAATTGTCTCCAACACTGGGGCAGCTGGGAGAGGAGGGGTGATGCTTTCAGAGTAGGAGGCACCTCTAAATAAAAGTGACCTGATGTTGGAGGTGCTGCTGCCTCCTGGGGAAGCATTCAGGGCTCGGCATCTCTGAAACGCAGGGTTGCTTTATCAAGCGGACTATCTGCAGGCTGCTAGGATTGCAACATGTGGCCGGTTCCTATTTCTGTTTTGCCCGATGAAGCATGCTCGCCTTAAAAACATCTACTTTGCAATTCACAGTGGATTTATCCTAAGGAAAGGCCTCCACTGCTGTGCGTGGTGGAGTCCTCTCCCTGCACAGCAAGGCCAGGCACGACCCAGGAGAGACAGGCAGGCTGGGCTTCCCACACACCCCAGCTGGCCAGAATTCCTGCACAACATCCTGCTTCTGCTCCCTGGCGCCGGTTGTCCTCCCGTGGGTGGTGAGGCCACCCCACCAGGACAGACCATGTCCTTGTGGTGTAGAAACTCCAAAAACACAATATGTCCCAGATGCTTTCCAAAGTGGCAGAGAAGCCTGGAGAGCACCTTTTGGTGCCTGGGCTTTTGGCCCGTGCCAAACAGCACAGGTGAAAATCCATCCCTTTCTGTGGGGTGTGAGGCTGAAGGCCCTTGATCTGGGCAAAGGGGCCACCACTGAAGCATTGCTTGGTCTCACTGGTGGAACGAGCTCTCTTATCATTCCCTTGGTTGTATCTCCTCACACTTTGTTTGGTGCTACGGCTCCTAAAGAGGCAGGACATGACCAGCTCATTGGAGTAGTCCCTAAATCAACTGTTCTTTACTGGGAGGTGTAGCAGGGCTCTCCAAGCCCAGAGGAGGGGTGGCCAGGCAGTGTCACTTGCCTCTGAGGCTTGAGACTTCTTGGTCACTGTTAATAGCAGCAGAACTATGTTGGTTCTCCTGGAGCCAGAGAAGAAGCTGGTTATCAAGCTGAGGCAAAGGAGGGCAAGTTATTTTGGGTGCAGAAGAGGGGTAGGTTGGGAGAGGGTGCATTGAGCAAACGGGCTCCAGGCTGGACTAATCAGCAAAGCAGCAAAGGTGGGTAAAAGTAAGAAGGGACAAGAAGAGATAAGCGGACAAAGGCTTTATTCGAGTAATTTCCAGACTGTTTCCACTGCAGTAAAGGCTCGTCGCATGGTCTCGGTAGCCGTGCCTTGTTTTTAAAAGATTAAGCAGTATTGTAGAAGGAAGAGTATTAGTTTGTTTCCTCTAATGTCAGAAAAGAAGATAATCACATCTATTAGGTAGATAAAGTGAGTATCTCCTCTTCAGAGAATAAATGCATACACTGGAAACACTGAATTCTTCAACAATCTTGACTGGGAAGAAGTTTTTGTATTTTTAAATATGGCTGTGGGGCTAGGAGAAGGGACTTCTTCCACACTGCAGTCCTTAAGTGATTTTCTTTTTATTACAGCTTTCAAGTAGCTGAGCCGCAGGGGCTGACATCCCCTCTCAAACATTGCATGCACCATAGGACAGAGTTGCCCAAAACGTTGGAGAGGAGGTTGGTCTTGGGTCAGTTCAATCCAGAAGTCCTTTGCTGAGACTGGAAAAGCAATGGATGTGGGTTTAATTCATTCAGTACTGCGTAGATCCTTACATACTGCTAGCCAGGCATCTGAAGATACCTCTAAATAGCAAGTGGCCTGGCTTGGATTCCAACCAGTGGCCATGTGGTGCCTGGTTCGTTATCTCTTACACCATTTTGTTTCTCATTGAGAGATGACTCCATGTAATAACTGTTCTTACTACATCCAGTCTTTTCTAAAGGAGAGATTGAAGGTAAACAAGTTCGTGCTGAATTTTCATAGGTTTAATAGCAGCAGTTTTGTAATGGGTAGTGGGATAAAAATCTTCTTCCCAGAGTATTGGATAACACGGTATCGGATGCTCTCTGGTTTCCATACAAGAGACAAGCACTGAGTGTAGTCATGAATTTTTAAGGGACAAAACATTAGCCTCTCTGAAGTTGGTGTGATCATTGGTTAGGAAGGAAAATTGCCAGACAAGAATTAAACCTTCTGAATTGAATCCTGGGGATGGAGATGTGATTTCCTGCTTCCCTAATTTGCAATAAGCATGGCCTGTGGCATGAGAAGAAACTCCAGAATGCAATGCACAATTTTGCCTCTGTCACTGTTTTTGAATAAAATCAGTGTGCAGTTAGTCCAGTGTTATAAATCTTGGTAGAAAGGCTTCCAGAGCAGGTAGATTTGTTTAATCACTTGGGCTGGAATCCAAACCACTGGAGGATATAAAATATATACACTAGTGCCATTCACTTCACTGAAAACACCTTTTTCCCATCCAAGGAAATAGCCGTGGCTGGCATGAATATATATTTGGCAAGCTGTAGGGCTGAACAAATTTCTCTGAAAATCATCTTTAGCCAAGATACTGACTATATTTCAGCACTGTAACTCCTCAAGCTCTTCAGCTAAGACTTTCTGACAGAGAAGTCATCAGAAATCAGTGATTCACGCTTTGAAATGGTGGGATCCTCACCTCTGCTCACCAGGCTCCCTGTCTGGATACCAGTCAAAGTATTGCCTTCAGTTTGGAGTAGATCTTTGCAAAAATCACTTCTCCTGTGACATCTGAAAGAAACATGCAGTAATGTAATCCTAAGGTATTCTTCTTTCAGCATATTTTGTCTTCTTTGTGTCTTGACCAGTAGCTTCTTGAGCAGGAATCTCGTTCTTTGATGTTTTGAGTCGTGTCTTATTAAGAACGCTGATCCTGCCAAATAAGGGTATATGTTTTTATTTTCTGATTTTCCAACTATCATCAAAATTCCTGTATGGGAGAATTTCAGAGTGTCCCAGTTTCAGCAGTTTTTGTGTAGCTTACACTAAGGAATAAGGTTTAGCATCGCAAAAGAGTCAGGTTGCAAGGTATTTCAGCTAAGAGCTTTGGGTGTTTTTGGAACATTAATTGCCTCGGTAATTCACAAGGTATGCTACGAGCTGCGTCCTTAGCGAGATCAAATCCCGTCTGGCGTAGAAAATTATACAGGCCTTCACAGTAGGAGTTTCTGCAGCAAGTTTTCAGTAGTACTCTTTCACACTGGGCACTGCCAGCGTTGTAGCTTTGGTTGCACACTCTGACTCTGTTGTATTGTCTCTTTCAGGCACTTTTAGGATTTGACAGAGTTTGCACAACACTTCATCAGCGACGTGAACACCTGCAGCAAGAACAGTTTTTGGAAGCGACATCCGTTGATGTGATTGAAGGTAATGCGCTCTCTTCTGTCATTGCCCTGTACTTGCCGTTTATCCCCCATGGAGCCTCATGGTCTGGCCGGGTGTCCCCTTTTGCTGCCCATCCTGGTTGGTGAGGTGAGAGCAGGATCAGGCCTCAGTTTGGTGCATGTCTGAGCATCCTCCAGGCTGATCCTTGCTTCAGGTAACAGCTCTTCCTAACCGTGGCTCAGCCTGTCCCATAAAATGTGGTTTTGCCCCTCTTCTTAAGGAAATCTTTGCTTGCGTCACTCAACCTGCCAATTTTCCATAGCCACATAAAGTGATTCATGTTTTTGAATCCTGAAGCTGGTCTTCATTCAAATACTGTTTTGCCACCAGGAATTTCACAGGTCAGTTTTGCCCGCTGTTCAAAACCTAAAATAAAAATGTCTGCATTGTTTTTGAGCACTTTCTCATGGTAAGTGGTTTAGCACTTGTCAACCTATATATTGTTCTGTATGTTACTGACCTTGTTAGTGCCATCACAAACAGCAGAAAGTGAGCCGTGCATTTGCTCCATGCCCCTGGAAAAAGATCAGCATAGCGTGGTCCTGCAACTGTAGCAGTTGCATTTAAGATAATCTTCTCTAAATGTAGTTTTCTCACAGGAAAGCTAGAACAGATTTTGCTTTTTTGTTTTTCCTAATTGGTATATTTGTGCTTAATTAAACCTAGGGGAAGTAAATGCATCTCTTAATTCACTGCCACAAGAATTTTAAGGTTCAGAGTAGGTGACTCATCCACCAGAGCAGAATTTATTCTTTGTTTGTAAATGCTATTTATTGCCTTGTTTTGCATCACTATGGCTACTGTATGTCATTGGTGATATCAGCATCTACCGTACCTAAAGTGAATGCAAGACCAAATTTAAAAGAGATATAGTTCTTATAATAATTTGCTTGTATCAGCCACTTTTCTGTTGTATGTTAGTATGTCTCACATAAAAGCAGCGCTAAAAGTGGCTCAATATTTTTCCATCAAAACTGGCTGAAAAGTAAAAAATTCTCCTGCACATAAATCATATCATAATTAAAAAAGCTCTAAACAGCCACCAAACCCCTTTTTCAGATTCTGTGGCTTTATAAACAATTCAGTGATGTCCTACAGATGATTTCGAAGTTTCGGATGAACTGATTTGCAGTGGCATTCTCAATTATTTTACTTCTAGTTATTTGTAGTGTTACATACCTAGTTAAGCTTGTTAGAAGCATCTCTGCTTTCACAGCCCATATAGATTCTTCTGCTTTCCTTTACTGTTTCTAAGTGGAGACTGAGAACAATTAATCTATTCCAGTTAAAGCCTAATTATTTTGCCAATTGCATGGCCCCATGTTCTTTTCTGAAACACATCAAGTACAATCACTTCTGCCATCCTATTCAATCAAAGCCTTAAGTTGCACAGATTTTGTGAAATGGCCTGGGCTTTAACAGCTTGAGAGCTGATTCACTGAGGCATCTGCTGTAACACTGGCAGAACTGTCACCGTTTTCCTAGCCAGAATCATTTGTCTTTGTCATTTAGAAATAATCTGCGGGGTGTAATGTGGTCTTAGGGAAGCACGGAGCCCGTTATTGCTCAATAATAGAATTTCATGAGGTCTTAACAACATCTTTGAGCTCATACGACACAGTTGACAGTGCATGTGTGGATGTATATCTCTAATGCCCCATGGAACAAGGACAGAGAAGTGTTTTAAACACTTGGTACATATTGAAAGACTGCTAAAATAAACCAACCAGCTGTGGGCGACTGCAGGAGTCTGCTGCTGGCTAGCAGGGACCAACCCCCAGGACACACAGCAGTGGGACATGTCTTCTCTGTGGTAGCCAAGCCCAAGACTTCATAAATCCCGGCCCACCACAAAGCCTCCAGGATTATTTCCAGCCAGACACACACTTTCTCATTTCCCTTTCCCTGCAATCCAGGACAGCTGGGGATGGGGCACTGAACCCCAAAAAGGATCTGAAAAGAAAGATGTTCACCTTGGACATGGTCAGAGCAGTGGGCCCTGTGCTCCTCTGGCTCACGTCTGGGTCTGGCTAACAGGCGATGTGAAAGCCCTCCAACAAACTCTTCCCAAAGAGTTGGGGTGGGAGAGCGGGGTCCCGCTATGGCCCAGCGTGGTCATCCGCAGAGGCAGCCCTGGAGGGACAGCAGGAGGGATACAACAGGGTCCCTCTGGGACCAAGGGAGAGACCAAAACCCGGATGGGGAAAAAAGGCAAGAACTGCATGAGCGCCAGGAGTCATCAGAGGGAGGAGGCAACGGAGGGGGTCCTGCTTTCCTTTTGGGCAGGGAAAGGTCCAAGGGCACAGCTCTGTCCTTTTTAAGCACTGTCTTGGGTTGTAGGAACAGCTGGCACAGCTGGGCCCGTGGTTACCACTCCAGGAAAGGGTCTCCCATTTCCAGATCACCAGTCCCTCAGTGTTGTCGTCCATGGGTGCCCAGTGGTATGGTCCACTGGATGCTGCAGGAATAAAAGCATGTGTCCAGAAAATAAATGTGTTTTACTGATTAGGTGGTTTGTGGTGTCCTGATGCGGTGTCCCTGGGGAGGGGTACAGGTCCAAGCAAGGGCAGGGAAATCGAAACTCTCTTCCTAGCAGGCAGACTCTGTCCTTCTGCTGTGCTGTGGCTCTGGGAGGATTCAGGCTGTGTAAGCTGGGGGATGCCCAGATCAGGGGTTGAGTTTCAGAGCCTGGTTCTGCTCCCCTGGTGTGTGTGTGTGTGTGTGTACCAGGAAGCGTGCTGTTTAATTCAGTGTTGGCTTGGTCCAAGGCTGGCGTTTCAGGGCTTTTCCCTAAGCTGGTGATGGATGCCTATGGGGTCAGGTCCTGGCCCACAGTTGAGCTCAAGCGTCTCCTGGGTCTGCCATGCTCTTTTTTAAATATGATGCAGTGGGAGTGAAAGTCTCTGTGATATCACGCTGCTCTGTGCTACACCTAATTAAAGTCATTGTGACGGCTTTTGTAGTAATTGCAGATATTGTAAAATTTAGTTTTGTGGGGTAATTGGTAATGCAAGCCTGAAACAAGTTATCCTTAAGATGTTTTAGTTTGCATTTCTCAGTAGGAGCAGCCTTTACAAAGAAGGCTTTTGTGTGTGAAGCAGGGCCAGAATTAATGGCAGCATTTAGTCGTGCCTAAAGGGGTGCTTGCTGTGGCAGGTGGCAGGGCGGTGTAATTGATGATGCCTACGTTCTGCGTGCTGCAGGAGGCTCTGGCAGCCAGTAGGTGCTGTACCTGATGAATGCCAGCTAGAGAGAGTGAAATGCCTGGGGCGAAACCCATCCAGGGCTGATGTATTCCCATCCAAAATGAACGTGGCCCCTTCAGTCTGTAGGTCACACAGAATGGTTCAGGCTCTGTTTGCTCCTACGCGCTTAATATGCGCTATGAAGTTTTCAGGCATCCTCAAGTTTTTCAACAGAATGCTGTATCTATAGATCTCAAATGTGAGGAAAATCCTAACGCCGTAGAGATGTGCGGCTACCCAGCCATGGGCTGGGCTGAGCTCTCTGCAGCGAGGACTGCAGTCGGCTCTCATCCCTCTGCTCCGGGCTGCCAAAGTGCCCAGTGGAACAAGGAGAGTGCAAGGGCCAGCACTGTAGTGCCTCGGGTGCCAGACAGCACAGGGGGATGCTTAATGGGCACATAAGCAGCTTAGGTTCCTAAGTCCCTGATTTAAATGAGATTTAGGTGCCAAACCTTCCCTGATGCATTTGAAAATCCCACTCAACACCTCTCTGAACACTCAGGCAAGTAAAGACTACTGAAAATCTGGCCCTTGGACGCCGATACAGCTGGTGTGTCTGGAATTAACAGTTTAAAAGAAGCGCTGGCTCATAATTAAATGGAAGAGACATCTGGGAAGAGCAAATATTGAAGATGTTATGAAGAATCAGAATGAGAATTTAGTTCAAGGCTGATATTTCCACGAGTAACTGGTTTTGGTCAACAGATGCAATTTCTGAGCTCATATATTAGTAATGAACTGCTTGCTGATAACATAGGAGGGCTT